TCAGCCCTGACATGCCCTGTCCATGCTATTGCCCTTCACTCCCAAGCCACAGTGCTTCAGTGTACAGATCTTGATGACCCAGGATACTGGTTTTCTCCACTGAAAAAAATTGATAATTCTCTGATTAAAAAAACTAAAATCTGCATTTTCCTGCAATGCAAGTGATAAATATATATCATTTGAGCACAATGTTTTATTGCTTTGAAATGGTAAATCTATCAATCTGGAAGCCTACCAGTGCCTCAATCATTAAAATAAAATAAATTCTAAATACCAATATATTTTGGCTTTTGATTTTTATTTTTTTTACTTGGAAAAATCAGAGCTCCTCCTGCCCCCTTCACTCACCAGGATGTGGGTCCAGCTGTGGTTGTCCCCCGCCTCCACTGCCTTGTGGCACTGATCAGCCCTGACATGCCCTGTCCATGCTATTGCCCTTCACTCCCAAGCCACAGGCCCCGACAGCCCTGCCAGTGCCCCTGACTCCCAATACATAAGCCCCCTGGCCCTGCTGGTGCCCCTCACTCCACACCCACAGCCCCCTGTCCCCAGCCCCGTCAGTGCTGCAGCCTCCCAGCCCCATCAGTGCCCCTCACTCCCAACCCACAACCCTCATGGCTGCTCTGGCCAGAGCGCAGACCCCAGCTTCCCCATGGGTGACACAGCTGGAAAGGAGCTCATGGTAAGTGGGGAGGTGTAGACTGATGGCTGCAGGGGGGGCTCCCTGCTAGTGCTCACATTCCTGGGGGATGTATGGGGGCATATGCATCCCAGCTTTATACTTGGGGTGAGGGTGGGCTGCCTGCTGCAGGTTCAGGGCTCCCAGCCTGCTGTTCTCCCACTGGGGCCTCCGGGGCCCAGGAGGTGAGACCTGGTGTGGGAGAACAGAGTGGGGCATGAAGACTGGGTGCCACTGCTGGGAGCCTTGTGCTGCCATGGTGAGGTGCTCCCTGCCCACCAAGCAGCATTGGGGAGCACAGCTCCATGCTGCTCCCCTCACAGGATGCACCTTGCCATGACAGTGTGGGACTTCTGGTGGCAGCACTGAGCCTCCCTGCCCCACTCTGCCACCCTGGGTCCTGCCCACTGGGCTGCAGAGGCTCTGACAGGATGGCAGCATGCAAAAATCTGGGGGGTATATATCCTCCATGCCAACCCCAGGACTGCGTGCAGTGGTGAGAAGGCAGTTCCCCACTCCCCCGCCATCCCCTGAACAGGCTGCACATGGTTCTGTCCCACTCCTGAGCCAGGCCCTGTGGCCACACATTCCTGCCCCAGTCCCAGACCCCATGTCCCAGGCCCATGCACCATCCAAGCTGGGCAGCACCCCCAGCCCAAGCCCCAGCCCTGCCCAACTCTCTCCCTCACTATGGGGGCCTCAATCCCCACCTGCATCCCAGACTGACCTGCAGGGAGCTGCCAGAGCTGCTCTCCACACTGCCTGGCTGCCATGTGCATGCGTACGCATACACCTGCATGTGGTCCCTCTTGTCTGATCACCCTCCACCCACTCCTCCCAGCCCCTTGCAAGCTAGAACTCTGTCAGCCTGCACAGAGAAACCTGCCTTTTCCTGTGCCTTTTCTCCTTTATGTGCATTTTCTCCTTAAAATGAGAAAATCCATATTTTTCCATGGCAAACGAAAAACCCAGATCCCTTGTGATGATAGTTCTGTTAATTTGAATTACAAGTCCCAGAAACCCTCTAGGGCTGGAAGGGTGGGGGGAGGGTGGGGATGGGAAGGCAGGTGAGTTTGCAGCAGGTGTGAGAAAAGGTGGCAGTGTTTGCAACCCCCACGCATGGAGACCAGTCATCCCTACAACAGAGAAGCACACAGTAGAGCTTGGGATCCCACTGGCTTGGTCAACTAGAATCATGTGGACTGAAGAAGCTGGACTCAGACTGACGGAGGCAACTATAGGTTGTTACTGTTTGAATACTCTGGGACTAAAGGCTGGTTTGGGAACACCTCTGGAGGCACAGGGAGAAAACTAAGGTACTGTGTGCATATTACCACAGTTGTTCATGTTCCTTCATCTTTTACCTGTTCCTTCCATTTAGTCTGCTGCCTTATGACCCTAACCCCTAGGATTAGCTATATAGAAGTGGGGTCTTCCCCCTGTTTTTTGTGCCAGTTTCTGGGGCTGGAGCTTAGCACAATATAACAAAAGCATAGCAAACCCCCACAGGGGCAAGAGAGGGAGCTTATTTTTGTAAATCAGATATTAAAATACAGTTTATTGAAAATTAAATTCTACTTTGTCAAGGCTTACATAAGTTGTATGCCACAGGAAACAGACGGCCTTTAACACAGTGACCTTTTCCGAGAAATAGAGACTGCTGTAAATAAGTTCAAATAAAATGCAGCATGTGTATTAAAGTTTTCTTATTTGCACACAGAAATCCGGTCTACTGATGTCTACCACATACACACACACACACATCATTCTTATCCACACAAATATAGACATCAAGAAGGCAACGTATTCTGTATTCACTTGCATATTACCCCCGAACAGGCAAATAATAGAAATTAGATACTAGTAAGTTTTAAGTACATGTTACATGTAATGAACCCATACTGGAAGAACATAGAAAAATATCATATAGATTAGGGTTTCTCAACCCATAGGTTGCAACCCAAAAGTGAGTCACAAGAATATATGCAAGCATCATGAACAAATTTAAGAAATGGATTCTTCTTTAAATGGAGAAAAACATGGGAAACAATGACTTTTCCCCTGCAGGCTGGCACAGGTCCAGCCTGGAAAGAGCTGCTTGGGGCACCCCCCTGCCCCACACACTGGGGGGCTGGAGCTTGGGGGCAGAGGGGCAGCAGGTCAGGAGTGAGGGGCACTGGGTGGGGACTGGCCAGTGTTTACAAATGGGTCTTGGTACAAAAAGGTTGAGAACCACTGATATAAATCAAACTAGTGATTTATATATTTTAACTGTATTCCAAAAATCAAACTACAGCAGTAATTTCACAGTTTGTATGTCAGAAGAATGCAACATATACCATGTATATGCAAGCCAATAGAATTCATGTATGAAACAACAAACTTGTCATAGGACCCTATGTATTGCACCAATAAGTAAATCCACCACAAACCATAAAAAGAATTTTCACCCCTTCAGTTTATGTGTATCCTGCGTTCAGAGCTACTATGTTTGAAACACACAAAAGACTTAGCAAATACATCTCTTCATGACAGGAACCAGGTTTTTATGCAGTTGACTAAATATAGTTAATATTTGAATTTTGCCTGACTTGGTACTTGATACAAATGCTTGTTCATTTCACATAATGACCAGGAAACATAGCTGTTTCCTTGTCCGTTTCCAAAGCATAATTATTCATGATGTCATTTGTCCTTAAAGTACAAAAGGAGCTTTTTAATCTAGAAACAAAATACAATAGACAAAAGGAAGTTTATATATTTTTCATCACAGGTTAGGAACAGGACATTGTTCTTTATTATGACTCATAGCCAGGAATTCATATCTAAACTCTTGTGGAAATGTACATTTGACTCATCTCCTTTTTCAAGATGCATTCCAAAAAAGTACTCTGCAGACAAAGTTTTGAGCCAGGAGTCAGCTTCACACTTAACAAGAAAACATGTAAGATGAACTATTAAGGACTATACCCATTTCAGTGTTTCAAGAAGCAGTCTAATTAACAGTTTTTGAGCAGTATTTATAGTAGTTCCTCTCAAAGACTGAAAACCACAGTTGTAACTACAAAGGTACAACACTAAACAGAACCAAAACTACACTGATGCACTCCCAACATACTTCAAGTAGACCTATTCTACCTACCTACAAAAATATGCCATCTGCCCGTGCTTACATGCTTCAAGTGTATGCATGTCAGTGTGTATGGGACTCAGGGTCCAGCTAGGAGTAAAGCAAAGATCAGAGAGGGCAGTATGTCAACAGTTTACAAAAGAAAAGAGAGAGATGCTTCTGTGGTTTTTCAAAGTCCTTCAACACAAAGCAAAGGAAACAAAACAATGCTTCCTTGTCCACAATACAAAACTATCCTACCCACAGAAATAGCAGATGCAAAATTGATTACATTTTTCTAGTTTCTTTGTCCAACCTCATTTATTTATTTTTTCCCCCAGAACTTGAAAGGGCAGCAGGAACCTGACCTTGTATCCTGTGGTATTCTTTCCCTGAGGCAGAGGTGGCCAACTTGCAGCACGGGTGGCACAAGTGGCACCTGCCAAGTTGGGGAGGGGACAGTCAGTACAGTGCAGATAGAGCAGAGCAGCAGATCAGGTAAGAGAAAGTGACCCAAGTAACACTCAGAAGTGATATGGGACTAATTTGCAGCACACCTGTCAAAAAGGCTGGGTTCCTGCTGCCTTAGGTTATGAACACAGTCTGGGCTGTTTAGATTGGGTTGGCCCAAGAACACAGAACTGACCAAAAAATGTAAAATTAACAAAACGAAAAAACAACAACAAAAATTAGACCTAGCCATTGTTTGGGTGCAGAATAATACTGACACTATCAACAGTTTCACTTTGTTTGTGCCACATAAGGCAGGGCCTAAGTTATCCTGCAGCCCCATTCTAGCTACCCAAGTGTGGCCAGTAATAAATCCTGTGCTCCCTGTGCTGACATGTCTCACTAAAGGCAGATAGATTACAATTTAGTGCAGAACAAGTCCCTGAGCTGCTCAAACCCTAGGCTTTTCATGGCTATTAGTGTAAAGTGGATTGAACAAATAAGGTTTGCCATTGAATTTCCCCCTTCTAGAAACTGTAGTTTAGGGACTCCTTTTCTCCTTTCCTTTGCCCAAATTTGGGCTGGCTCGAATATCTGCCAGCTCCAACTTGTAGCTGGTAAATGGTTGAATATCAGACTTGCTTCTTGTTCTACAACTGACAAGATTTTGAGAGATCTCCTTTGTGAAGTCAGGGGCTTCAGGTCAGTTAGGCTCACAAGCTGAAAGGCACACAGATTTTTTTAGGTTTTTGTTTTGCTTACCCTTCAGAGAGCAAGTGCCATGGACCACGAGGAAGCTGTGCATCCTTCAACTGCTGGAAGTTGACTACGACACTCCCTAAAACATTTTAAAGTGTTAGTCTGTGTGCATACACAAATGCAGATTGTTCTGGTGGCATGATTGGTTGTCCAGTTGTGTCAGTCAAGATCTCTGACCAGTAAACTTTCTTTTCTCTGCTCCATTCTCCACTTGGTGCCCTGCACACAACCTGGCTGAGCACATCACTTTTCCTAATCATCATCTCTGTGATGTGATATGGGGCTGTTTGTCACAAATGCCTAAATGGTAAAAGGGCAATACCAGTACCTAGAAGTCCCAGTTTAGAAGCAAGCTCCTTTGTGGTAGGTACTGCATGCACCTTTGATTAAGGGAAGACAGCCCTCAGCCCTCCCCCTTTCCACTAGTTATAATTTAATGTAATAACAGAGACCAGAATAGCACATGCAGAGAAGGACAGTAAGCTATAAGTAAAACAGGATAGGGAGACAAGAGTTAGAGCAAAGGAGAAGGAATGACTGGGAGAGGAAGTGGAAGCAGATGAGCCCTGTCTGAGGTGGTGATCAGAAGAAGAATCCACAGGGCAACAGTGGAAGGACTGGCAGCAAGGAGGCAAAACACAGAGAGGAAGGAAAGGGACTTTTATCTGCAAAAAGTTCAGAAATATGTACTAATCTCACTAGGGATGTGAAACATTAAATGATTAATCATTTCTTTAACCCAAAAGTACAGTGATAACTGGTAATCTTACTGGTTATTCTTTAGCTCAGGGTGGGCACAGTTGGGGTGAGGGGAGAGGCAGAGAGGGAAGCCACACAGTGCCCCAGCAGAAATCAGAAGGCAGACAGGAGGGGGAAGGACAAGGTGGACTACTACCTATAGCCTAAGAGGAAAACAGCAAGCAGCCTAATGATCGTAAAGTGTATAAGTTACCTTAGCTGCTGATTCACAGGTGCGTGCTCCCTCCCTCCCAGGGTAGGGGTTCAGGTGGGCTGTGTATCTGGCTGGGCTTGCTTGCTTCCTCTCCCCTCCCCACAGTCAAAGGGCCCAGGAGCTGGGAGTGGCTCCCGGCAGTAGCTATGTGGGAGCTGCTTTATTATCAGTTAATTGTTTAACCAATATAATTGCAGGAGGTTAAATGAATATTGTAAATGATATTTAAATCCCTAAAGCTCACTCCCTAATAGGACAAAAAGTTCTCATTTTTTGTCTTCTTGCCTGGAAAGCATATGTCGTTAATACTGCCCTATCACTTAAAGAAGAAGCAGAAGAAAGGTTAGTAATTCTGCAAGCTACAACAAATGTAGATCTACACAAAACATGGCAAAGACAAATAATATCATTTTTCCCCCTTACTTTCTTTTGCAATTGGAAGGTTTCTCTTGGCCACACCACAATCACTGGGATGTACCAGCAGATATTTCATAAGGGAATGCATGATGACTCTTCCCTTTCCCCCTCACAAATTTGGGCTGCTATTCAACCCCTTCCAAGAATCGGCAGAACCCACTGAGTTATCTGGGTATCTAAAAAGCACTGTGCTCCTTCTGGCTCATTGTTTTGCAAGTCAAAACCTACAAGTTTCACTCTTACCCCCTTCTGTTCAATAGGAGATAGGCGTAAGTAGTGGCTGCAGAATCTGGCCACAAAAGCATTTACCCATCACCCAAAGAAATCATTAAATGGAGTTGGACAAAGCTAACTAGCTTGTAGGAGGTCTCCCTAACCTCAAGAATTTGAGTCTCTGCTTCATTTTCATTACCACAGTGTAATCTGATACAGTGAAATTCTGTTTCTTGTGAAATTTAACCCTTGACCCCTAAATAGCCTGTGATTGACAAGTTTTATATATAAAACTTCCACAGTCCTACCATGTTAGAGGGGAAAATAAGACACTAGTTTAACTGTACTAGTGAATTGGTCAATCATTTCAAAACCCCTACTTGTAGGCCTTCTCTTATAAAGGCTTTCCATACCAGTGCCTATTCCTAATTAATCCAGAGACTAATTTTTATAATCTCTGCCTATGTTTAGTTAAAGAGGCAGCTGTGTCATGAACTTTTCTCTGTGAATGGTAGCTACCAATAAGTAAAAGTCAAACCAATTGATTAAAAATGCCAACTAGTGAGTCTATACAATGTGGTTACAAAGTGGCCCAAACAGTTTTCTTGTGCACTTTGTTAGGTCTAATTGTATTGAAGCACACTGTAATGGACTGTTAATCTAAAACAGCAGAGTGGATGGAGTTCTTCACATAAAGTGCAGTCAGGTAAATGATTTCAAACATGCTTTGAGTCCCAGAAAAGTACAGCAAAGAAAGAGAAAGCTTTAAAATTACTGACAAAATGAAAAGCAATGAATAGCAATCAGTGTATCAGGTTGGAGACTCAAAGGCTTGATCATAAATATTACCCACACCTCCAGCAAAATGCTTGCAAATTTACTGTCATCTGCTCAGGATAGTATGTTTTTTACATGCTGGTGTGGTCATCTCTGTGTTAGCCTGAGTTCTTGTGATACTATTCCTAACCACTAATCCTTGGGACCCCCCCTCCCCCACCCCAAATCTTCATACCCAGAAAAATCACATGCACTCCTGTATGAGATTACTCCCCATTATTGCAGTTCCACCACTACCTGCCTGTGACATTCAGTGTTTCTTAAGAGGCCTCTTCACAGACTGGGAAGGCAGAAAAAAGTGGAGCTGAAGTGTGGCTTCCTAAGAAATGAGTGGAAGGAAGAGAACAGTTAGTAAATTCAAATTTCACTTGTGATACTGAAAAGCTTAAAGTCAAAGCCTAATTTTTAGGTGCTCAGCCCACAGTGGTATGTACCACCTCTTTTAGATGCCATGGGAAAATGTTAGGAGCCTCAGAATGGTAACAGCAAGAATGCTAAGTGGGATGCTGCCTACGCTGCCAAAGCATTGAACAGGAAAGGTATGTCTAAACGTTTTTTGAGCTAAAGGGAGCAAAATTGTCATCCTAGTGGTATGGACACTCACCTAAGAGGTCTGATCCCTGCAACCAAGACTTTCCATATTTCATTTAATGACTGTTCAATGTAAAATATGTAAACAATCCACGGGGCAGGGAATCAGCGTGCTCAGACAGTCTACCCTTAGTCTCTGGCAAATGTTCACGTGACTAGGTTCAAAAGTCATGCACTTCCTCTCTCTCATAAGAAGCAATGATATAATACTGGACAAACGGTACTCATAGCACAGTACCAGCATAACCTTTGCCAAATTTTGTACAGATCATGGCAAAGGAGAGCTTTAAGGAAGGATCTGAAGATAATGAGGTACCTTTGCAGGTGTTTATGGGGCTCTTCTTAAGTGTTATGGGGCAACACTGAAGAAAGCAGGAAATTTCTTGTTGAAATATCTAATAAGTTGGTGATGAAGCCTGGCATCATTGGCCAAGGAATAGCAGGAGTCAACATCCTAAGTAGTGAACGAGAGATGACAGGTCAGGCAGGTGTAGGGTGTGAAGGGCTTTGAAAGGGAAGACAAACAGCTTATATTGGATATGAATGATAGACAGGAGAGTGGTGATAGACCGGAGAGTGGTGCATAGCAATCAAGAACAGAAATAATAGGGCAGTCTCTGGAGAATATTTTAGCCATGTTGAGCTTGAGCAGACAGATGTATATGAGGGGATGGTAGAGATAGATTAAGATTTTAGTTTGGACAGGAGTTAGGTTTGTATTAAAAAGGTAGCTCTGAGTCATCAGCACAGGGATGTTGTCTGTGGAAGAGATTACTCCGCTCCTTTTAAAGGAGCTAGCCCTGAAAAATTATCAGCTGGAAGCATGGCCTGTAGGAGAAAGTCTCCCTATTCTTCCCTGCTTACATATCTGCTCAGAGGCTGGCCCAAAATCAGAAGATTTGTAAGGTCTTTGAGTGTAAAATGTAAGTTCTTTGTTTAGGAGCTGCCCTTATTTAATAGCCACCCCTTTACCATACAAGCTAGGGGAAGTAATTAAATTTAATTGAAGGAGCACTCATTTTGAAGTCACCCTCAACTTAAAGCCACAGGGGAAGTAATTAAATTTAATAGAAGCCACAAATTCTATGCAAAGATATGCTGTACCCTAGTTAATTATTTGTGGTTTTGAGGTTTCTTAGGTGACTGTTACTTCTACATCCACACTTCCCTTGTCATCCTTGCATTCTCTTGGACACTTTTTGATGAAATAGCATATGTGGATATCACCTTTGTGGTGATTCTGAAAACCTCTGCCAAGAAACAAGACCAGTCAGCTTGGCCCCACTCTGCATGTACCACATGCTGAAAAAATGTTAGAGCAGTGCCACACACACCTAGCACCCTTCTCAGATCATGCCTGAGACTGGGAACACCAAAAAGCTAAAACATGAGATTTTTTTGGTCAGTAATAGGAGATTTGATGGGAAGAGAGGCCCTTTTCTTGGCAGCAGTCTTGGGAGAACTGCAGAAAAGCACAGTGCAGCAAGCACTCGCTGAAGTGACTTTTGGAGCTTCAGCGGCTGCAAAAATGATGTTAATAATGAAGTTAAAGCTCTTTTCATCATCATTCAATCTTAACTTCTAAAAAAAGAAAAGCAAATGTCCTCTTCTGATTTTACTTGTCCCATGATATCGACCTCCACTTTCTAGTTGTTAGATTTGCAATAAACAGCTTCTCCCACGCTGCCTTTCACACTTCCTGTCAGCATCAGCAAAGCTCTCAGGCTATTTCCCTCAAATACCTCCTTAAAATACTCCTATAAACATCTGACAAAGGATAGGCCAGCCATTGGCGTGTTGAGACCGCCACCTATCATGTTGCATAAATTTCATTGTTCTTTTATAAGCCCCCTCGTGTCCATATAGTTGAATGTGTTATATCTACCCTTAGACATGACTGTAAGATGTTTCAGACATTTATTGTCCTGTTGTTCTGGGTTTTTTGTTTGTTTGCTTGCTTGTTTTTTACACAGGGATCCTGCTGGACAACTGAGGCTCCTGGGAGATATACAAAGGTGAATAATGATGATAATGATGAGGGGGAGGATGAATAGGATGATGATGTCCTACTCTATACCTTGTCAGAAGAGCTGGCTGGCGGTGGATTTCATAGATTTTAGATTTCACAGACATTAGGGCTGGAAGGGACCTTGAAGATTGTCAAGTCTAGCCCCCTGCCCCAAGGGCAGGAAGTCAGCTAGGGTCAAAGGATCCCATCAAGATAAGCATCCAATCGTTTCTTGAATAAGTCCAGAGTAGGTGCCTGCACCACTTCTGGAGGGAGTCTATTCCAGGCCTTGGGGGCTTGGACAGTAAAGAATTTTTTCCTTATGTCCAGCCTAAAATGGTCATGGAGGAGTTTATGGCTGTTGGTCCTTGTTATCCCTTGGGGTGCTCTGGTGAACCAACGTTCCCCCAGATCCTGATGTACACCCCTTATGTACTGTGAGAGGGGCAGTGGAAGCCCCTCTAAGGGGTCACAGCCCTGTACCCCATGCACCCTGGAAGTTGCCTTAGGGATCCCAGATACAGGCAGCCTGGAGGAAATGCAGGCAGCAGCCCCATGGTTCTGGAGCTGCCTGCAGCTGAGGATCGGTGGGGGAAGGGAGCGAAGCCTCCAGAAACTGTGGGCTGCTCAAATGGCAGTCGGAAAAGCAGCTGGGGGGCAAACCGCGGGGGAAGAGGACACTGACCCAGAGACACTGGGGAAGAAAGAAGAAGATGCCCACCCAGAGCTACTGGGGAAGGAGGAGGAGGACGTTGACCTCGAGACGCTGCTGGAGGAAGAGGAAAGCACTGATCCAGGGACTCTGGTGGAGGGAAGAACAGACAGTGACCCAGACATGCAGGTGGCCAGAAGCAGGATTCCCCAGCTGCAGGCAAGAGGAGGGAAGCTGAGGGCCCTGGCACAGGAGGCAGGAGGCACCAGCAGGAGCAGGTACCCCACATGGGGGGCATGACGGGGGGGCACGAGCAACCCTGCATGGGAACCACACACTCTTCGAAGCCTGGGAAGACCAGGAATGACTC